CAAAGGCTTAAAGATACATAAGTGAAAGTATTGGAGTGGCCATCACAAAGCCCTAAACTGAGTTCCAAAGAAAATTTGTGGACTGGGTTGAAAACGTCTGTCTGAGGAAACAAAACACGTGGTTTGCTCAGAGTTCTTACCAAGGCTTGCAGTGAAGAGAAGAGTAGATTATGTGATGCTATGGTCCTCCACTGAACGGCGTAGTGCTGCGGGGACAAACCAAACAGAAACGCATAATATGTTTGTGATTCAACTTCTGCCCTAGCCATAAATTACTTGGATGGTTTGAATGCTTGTGAAAATAACTCATTTTCAGTTATGACTGTCTGTCCAAATGCTCCCCAATGTCTGTTTTATCCAGAATGTCATAGTCCAAAGAGATGAACTTATGATGGAAATTTATGAATGGCCGCTATGCTGGTATACCTTTGATGATGACAAAGACACGCAATTAAATTTTATTTGTATAGCACTTTTAACAATGGACATTTTCACAAAGCAGAAGACACTGCTTTGTCGAAGTGGAAGAGGTGTGCCTGATATGATGAACTGTGAGTTTACATGGTTTACACTATCTGAGTGGAAAGCCTGTTTTCGAATTGTTTTGCCAGGAGTTTCTTGCCTGCATCGGCGTCTTAACTATACTGTTTATCTCTTTTTTAAATCAATAATTTTGCGCTATCGTTTTCATCTGTTGTATTTTTCACGTTCTCTTCTACCGTTTTTTCATATTTTTTCCTCGAAGTGCGCTTTTGTATTTTGTTTAAGACAGCGAGGCCATCCACACCAGATCCACGCCGTCTACAATAATATCAACAAATCTCCGACTGAGGTGCGTTAAACTACATGTCTAACATTCAGCTTGTTCAGTGTGTTGAGTGCAGGATGTTTAGTCACTTTTCCTCCATCGTTCGTAATAGCTTTATTTGTGATAAATGCATGTTAGTTAGCTCTCTGACGGAGAAGATTGCAGCATTAGAGGTGCGCATCCAGACTCTAGAGAGGGTTAGTGAGAGTGAGAGCAGCGTAGTTTCTGTAGGGGAAAGTCTGGATGCCTTAGGCGGAGTTAGTAATCCCCCAACTCTGGCATTAGAACACAGTGGGGCGAATGGGTGACGACTCGGCGGCATAATCGCAAAGCCAAAGCTAACGCTAAGGCTCGCCCACACGAGCACCACTCCTCTCCGCTTCACGTGTCCAACAGGTTTGCTCTCCTCAGTGAAGCACCCGCTGAGAAACCTGAAAGAGCTCTGGTTATAGGTGACTCTATCTTGCGGCACGTGAAATTAGCTAGGCCTTT